TGCTTATTTTTTACCTATTATTTATTTATTTATTACTTCTTTGGTTATTTTCTGAGCCCACTGATTAACGTGGGATTTTGAGAGTCAGGGATGTGCCTCTTTTATTTATTTCCATATTCTACAAAATGAACAATGCCTACCAGATATAGTAGAGTTTTCAAACACTGTAACTGAATGAAGAATGGTAAGACACCAAGCTTCCTCCAGAGACATCTGCTCAAGTTTCCTGTCCAGGCTGTCCTCTTTCCAGTTGGCCTGTGCACTCCAGATGCAGATCTCACTTATTTTTTTCCTGCTATAGCCCCAAGGCTGCAAAGTTCCCCCTGCTCCACCCTGTACTGTGCATCACACCCTTTCTCCTACAAACTGTCAGCCTGCAATGGATAAGACTGAGCACTTGGAGCCTTCTCTACTCCCTCCCTGCCAATTGCCAACTATATGCCCTAGTTTAGTCATTTAAAAATGGGGGGAAAAAACCCAGAGAAACAGAAAATTATTACACCTATTGCCAAGATTGAATGAGATTGTTTGTGTGAGACACTTGGTAAAGCCTGAAATACAAGAAATGTTAAGTATTCATCATTATTTTATTCCCACGCCTTTGAGTACTTAGTCAAAATGCCAACTTTTATGTTAAAGTTTCAGATGTGTTTGTTTTCTGTTTCTTTTGTGTCCAGAATAGTATCATGTTTACTTATTAAGAAATTCAAAGATTGCCTGATCCAACTTACTAAAAGAAAAGGTAAGGAGAGTTAACAAAATCAAAACAGAACAAAAATGACCCAATAGGTGAGTTATTACCTGTTGATTCAAATTATATTTCCCTTGCATTTTTAAAATTCTGGTGAAGAAAGTTTGGTGCTTAAAATTCTGTACTTTGGCTAGTGGACTCAACTTAGATTTCTACTTTAATCTCACATACTGCTTGCTTTCAAGTGAACAGGCTTCAAGCTTGTCACGATCTTGGTAATTTTTCAATCCCCTAGGGAATATTTTATCACTATTGGCTGGAAGGCAACTGAAATATTATTTTGTATTTGACTTTACCTAAATGGTAATTCACAGATCCATTGGATTGTTGCCTAGACAACTGAATATAATAAAATCAAGAGAAAAAAAAAGATTAAGCTAAGTAATACTAATTTCCAGCTTAAAGAAATATAAGGGAATATGGAGGTGAAATAAATACTAGGTGAAAAAAGTGCAAACTCTACTAGCATGCATTTATTGAATTTAACAAGGGTTGTGCTGTTGGCTCACCCTCCGGATCCTATAGGATTCCAGCAAATTAAACTTCTCCAACTGGCAAGTTAATAGTGTTGATGTAATGCTGCTTGTCCCCAGACAGCTGAACTCAGCAACTCCAGTTCCATTTTTCCTTTCCAAAGGATAGCTAAAGAAACATTCCTGGGACACATGTAACATGTTTGCTTTTTCAAGAAAGAAATTTAGTTCACATTTTCTTCTATAGCTCTATGTCTTATGCCATGATTTCTTTTTTTTTAACACATTTTTAGTTGTTGATAGATCTTTATTTTATTAATTTATACACGGTGCTGAGAATTGAACCCAGGGCCTCACACATGCCAGACAAATGTGCTACCGCTAAGCCCCAGCCCCAGCCCCTTATGCTATGATTTCTATAGATTTTATTTGTTTGGGTAAAAAGAACAATATTTAGAGTATTCCAAAAGTTCACAGATCTGAAGTTCAAGGAAAAGGGATTTTTTTTGTCCTATATGTATACATATTATTGTCCTATATGTATTGTGGTCCTGTATGTATATTCTCTTCGGTTTTTCAACACAGGAGGGCCTGTGGACATTGCTGCTGCTTCTGCTTTCTCCTCCCCTTTCCTACACAGAGCAATTCCCTTACAAGTCCACTTTTTCAAAAGTGAATATAAGACACACAACTGTAACCTGTGTCTCCTAACAATATAGCACGTACAGTTCTCAAAGCCAATGGTTAAATCCAGCTCCTTATTTATAATTCCAGAAAAATATTCCATAGTGTGAAAATATAATTTTTCAGCTATTCCCTTGATGAACAATCAACTCATTTTCAGGTTTATTTTCCATCAACACGGTGGAAGTTAATCGTTTTTGTTCATGATTTTACATGTGGGATCTTTTGAGTCTGCACATTATATTTTAAAATATAAGGCTTATGGGTCAAAGGTCTATTTATCTATATTAAATAGCTTTACATTTAGATCTACATGTATTAACATTTTCTTATTTAAAGGTAGTATAGATATTGCTATGGTATCTCTATTTGGTCCCATCAGCTCAGGTTTTTCATTTTATTTATTTATTTATTTTTTGGTAGAAAATGGTTCTTAACACTCAAAAGCAACAACAACAAGAACTTATGCCTTGTTTTAAGTAGAAAACTTTAATCTAGAAATAAAATGTGCCTCAAATCAAACCGATTTTTATTGTTACTATGTTATTTCAAGATTATTCATATTTTAGCAGTTCTTTTTTTTTCAAACTTTTGACAGAACATTGTGTAGGTGCTAGGTACTGAACAAATGACCACACTGGCAGACTCAGCTCTGTATTTAACAACAGCAAAGCATTACCAATATATTTGATGGAACAACACATTATTAATCACATTTCTATTTAGGCCATTACCAAAGATTCACTTGTTCCTGAAATTTTGTTATAAGCCAAATCATTAAATTTCTTTGCTTATTTTCAAGTATTAGTAGAACTATTAAGTCAACAAGGTTTTTCTTGAATTAATGTTAGAATGTACGGTATACATCATGGATCTGTTTTTATGACATACAAGGTGTTTTGTTTCTACTTTTTTGCTATGGAAAATAGTTAACTGGCTATCTCTTTGATATGTGTAGTCATAAAATGTGACTAGTTTATATAAGAATATTTTAAGTAAGAAGAAAACAAAGGAAAATCCTAGGATTTAGAGATGACCATTTTCACTGACCATCAATATGTATTATTTCATATAATTCTTCAACAACTTATGAAATTAGCATTCACAGATGAGAAACTGAGTTTCAGAGACACCAAGCAACTTGCTCAAGGTCTCACAGCAAATAAATTGGAAAGCCCATACTTGACCCCATCATCTGTCTGGTGTTGAGGCCCACACTAGTGTATCCTTTGTTCTCTACTGAACCTGACACATTGATCACCATGCACTTTTGCCCCAATGTTTTTCTTTTCTTGGTTATAAGTCACAGGTCAGTCTGAATCAACAGTCAGTGATACAGACATGAAGCGAAAGTTCCTTTGGCTATAGCACTTCTACATGACTGGAATGGATCTGGTCCCCCTCTTGGAGAGGAAGGGGATTATTCCTGGTCCTGCTGAGCTGGCTCCTCTTCTGAGGTTAAAATTTCTCCCAGAAGCTTGAGGTTGGTGGTAGGACATGGAACATTGTTTAGTCTCAGACTTCATCCTTTTGTTATAGTCAATATTTCTACGAGTGTATTAAAGCTATTCACCAAAAACTAATTCAATGTTACATGACCTTCTGCGTGTACACTTTTCTTCCCTTTGTTTTTTTTTTTTTTTAATGCTGAGAATTATTTGGGAAGCTAAGGACATTCTTCTTTGAGACTTCCAAAAGGCACACTGGAAAGTACCTCAAATGTCTCAAGCTTAATAAGTATTCATGAGGAGGAGGAGGCGGTAGTAGTAACATTGCAATCCTCCTTATATTAGACTGTTGTTGAATAATTTGAGCATTGATAATTTTAGAATATTTTCAGCAGTGGAAAATTTAAGCAAGACTCACATCATCTTCAGAGGCAACACATGTTCATCCATGGCCTGTCATGAAATGCACAGCCTTTTGAAGTTTCATATGCAAAAGGGTAGAAGGTCTTTTCTTTTCCTTCCTGAATATGATGCCTAACTATAACACCAAATAGTATGGAATTCTTAAATTAGCTAATACTATTTTCTCAGTTCATATCGCATTAGGTTTTGTTGGTGGTGGTGGCGGTGTTTTAAATATTTGCCCTGCTTCCTAGTTAAAAAAAAAAAAAATACAGCAAGAGGACTAACTTGGGGAAGTTTGGGATAAAAATGTACCCGGAGTGTAGGGATGGGTGGGGATGGAGGCAGTGGGGGATGCTCTTTGTAAATGGCAAGAGAATCTTTTTCTCAATTCTCCTACTGCCATGCAAGACTTTGGGAATTCAGCACCACGCCCAGCTTGTAACTCTTGAACACTGAGGTTAAGGCTGAAACACTACCTGCTGCTCCCTTCTCCAGCATCACACACAGACCAGGTCTGGCAAAATAGGCTGGCTGTTAGCCAAACTCGGAAATCACCAACCCCAGACACCTGCAGCTGGTTCCTTGCCAGAGAGCCCGGGACGCCTGGGGTTGGAAAGATGGAAAGTCGCTGAAGCCTCAGATGCACGCACGCACCCGGGACCGGGAAAAATTGAGAAGCGGTTGAAACCATAGATGCCCAGGGAAGAGCTGCTCTCCCTGGAAGGGTGCCTGGCACGCACGGCTCTGGCAAAGATCCAGGATGCCCAGCGAAAAGCATTCCCACACCTGCATGCGCTCAGAGTGCCAGCGCTTACCCACACACCCCAAATTCACAAACAAGGCACATGGCAACGTCCTTTCCCCTGGGTACCCCTATCTGGGTGGCACTCTGTTCTAGGCAGACAAACCCTTCTTTTCTTTTCTTTCTTTCTCTCTCTCTCTCTTTTTTTTTTTTTTCTCATCTTGCAAGTTTCTAAACCTGAGGCTGGGCGACCCAGGGCTGCGCTCAGGGCTCCTAGTGTTGCCCTGGAATCCACCGGGTACCCATGCCATGCCCAAGAGACGCACAGGCATCTCTCGCACGTTCCAAGCTCCCAGAGAGGACAAAAGGGGATAAGGGTCCCAATTTGAGTAAACAAACGGTGACTGCTGAGACAAGCTTCTAGGGCTGTCTGCTAGTGCCTCAGGGAACAATACCCAGGGCCCATGTGCGCCCTCCCTTTCCCAAGGCATTCTCACCAATTGTATCCTCTGCCACGCTTGAACTTGACGGTAAGCACAGTCTCCAGGAAGAGCAAGAGGTTGAGCAGCGCCAGCAGCCAGTACCATGGATCTCCCTTCACCTTCGTCACTCGCCAGACCCCGACCAGGGAGTGCAGCACAAACAGCAGCCTGGTGACGAGGTCGTTGAGGAGGACCAGTCCCTCCATGCCTGCCCTTGCGCTTGGCCAGAGGCACCTCGCCTGAACCCTGCGGACCCTGCTAGAAGCGCCCAGAGCCCGCTGATGGGTAGGAACTTGACAGCACTGAGACCTGATGCTGCTGTCTTCCCTCCTCACCCTCCCGCGACCAATGCCGGTAGGATAGGAGAGCGTGACTCGCCCCTCCCCCCAAACTTCCTGAGAACTCTTCAAAGAGGGGAGAATCCAAACCCAGCTTTTCCAGACTGCTGGGTTTTGCAGAGTGCGGGGCTGCGCCGCTCAGGCTCCTGGGCGTTATTTTGCAGCTCCACTCATCCCCCTCCCAATCCTGGGGCAAATCTCCATCACCATCACCCTGCTCTATCCCCACCCCCAGGCCTCCGTGGGGTCCACAAGAATTTCCCCCACTCTGAGGAGCTGTAAAGAAGAGGGAGGTGGACAGAAGGTCAAGGTGCTGCATAGCAAGATGGGGCGAGGCGGGAGGAGAGAGGGGGCGCCCCTCTGGCACCTCCTCTTTACTTTTCCACCAAAGTACTCTTTAATTTACTCCCACGTTTCACAGGAACATGCTCTCAGGGTGATTCGAAGCTAGCATGCTGGAAAGCCAAAGAATCTGCTGTCCATGCAGTTTTAGAAACACAGCAGCGCCTGCCCAGTTTAAAGAATTGAAACTTTCCAGGACCAGACAAAGTCAGCAGCTCTGGGCTGTCCTGGAGCTTCTTACATCTCCTTCAGCGCAAGGGTGACCCTGGTCACTTACTCTTCCAATGCTTTCATTAAAACAGATAATTTGGCGCTGGGGTTGTGGTTCAGCAGTAGAGTGCTCGCCTCACACGTATTCAATCCTGGGTTCGATTCCCACCACCACATAAAAGTAAATAAATAAAATGAAGGTATTCAATGAAGGTCCAACTACAACTAAAAAATAAATATTTAAAAAACCAGAGATAATTTTTATTATGCCATCCCTGACTCCTACCACTATCCCTAACCCCTTGAGGGTGGGGATGGAGTGGTGCAGCAAAAGGGCAGAGGGGAAAATGAGGGAGAAGAAAGAAGATAAAGTCAGGAATGAGATTAAGAGGTGAGATTCCTGGAAGGGAGACCTGCACTCTTGAGATCAAGGACCCTTAAGTTAAATTCTGGTCTTTCCAGCATCCAAGGCAAAGTAGAAGCTTAAGTCAGACTTTCCTAAATCACCTTCATGATTTCTATTTGTTTGTTTGGTGTGCTGTTATTTGTGATACTATTTACTTAACATTTTTCTTTAAATAAACTTTTTTTTTTTACTGAAATCTATTTGTTGTAAAAAGAAACTTTACATCATTTGTAAATGGAAACCCAGTACAGTTGTCTATAGATGGAAGGTAACTGCAAAATAATAATAATAATAATAATAATAATAATAATAATAATAATAATACAATGGACTAAGTTGTTAAAAATATCATTAGGTATTCTTGTCTCCAAAGCTCTGTACCTCAGATTTCTTTTCTTTGTTATAAATGGAGATTTTAAAAAATGATAGTTAGATTACTACCAAGCAGGAATGCTCTGTTGTCCACATTAGTAACATTGAAATAAAAACACATGGAGAATATCTTTTCTAGTTAGGTTTATTCAATTTAAAACTATGGTATACCTCAAGTCAAAAAACTATGAGTTATTTGATTATCTCTATTAGGTGAAAAAGAAATCAAACTGCTTAGAGAAAATGTAGAAGCTATTTTTGGTACTGAGATCTGTAAGAATTTATTTATTTACTTTTCCTATGGTCTGTATTGTTTCACAATATCTTGCAGGAAACCCTGCAATGATTTGTGTGTGTGTGGGGGGGTGTTTATTATAGTGCTGCTCAATATAAACTGATAGCAGTGAGCATATTCAAGGAAAAGGAAGTGGAGAGCATGGTAGACAAAGGTAGCAGAGGCAGCAGCAGGGTGTAAAGATCAAAGATCCAGTGCCCACCAAGTAGCCTCTGGGAATGCTGACTCAGTCACTTAGGAGTGTTGTAGTTTTTATTGCCCTCTTGTAGCTTTTATTCCTCTGTGTGTTAATCAGCTTTCTGTTGCTGTAACAAACTACCTGAGAAAATCAATTTAAGAGATGAAAGAGCCAGGCCTGGTGGCACATGCCTGTAATCCCAGTGGCTCTGGAGGCTAAGGCAGGAGGATTACAAATTCAAAGCCAGCCTCAGCAATTTAGCAAGGCCCTAAGCAACTTAGCAAGACCCTGTCTCTAAATAAATAAATAAAATGAAAAGGGCTGGGGATGTGGTCAGTAGTTAAGCACCCATGGGTTCAAATCCTGGTTCCTTAAAAGAAAAAAAGGATGAAAGATTTGCTTTGGCTCATGATTCCTGAGATTTCAGTTCATGGTTAATTGGTTACTTTGATTCTGGGCTTGTGAGAAGACTGAATTTCATGGCAGAGAGGGTATGAAGGATCAAAGTTGCTCACCTAATGGCAGCTAGGAAGGGAGAGAGAGTGAAGATGAGATGCAGACCCCAAGGGCACATTCTTAAAGACCTCCTTCAATTAGCTCTTACCACCCACATTTCCTATCACTTCCCAATAGTCCACTTATTTATAAACTCATCAGTTGATTAATTCACTGATGAGGTCAGAACTCTCAGGATCTAAGCACTTTCCAAAAGACTCACATCTGAACATCACTGCATTAGGCACCAAGCTTTCAATACATGAGCCTTTGGGTTACATTCCAGAGGCAAACCATAACACCCAGCTTCCTCATTTGCAAACCATAACACCGAGGTTCCTCATTTGCGAATTGGTAGATAGTAAGTAGATGCTAAGTCTATCTACTCATAGGCTCACTAGGGGACCAGATATATTCATCCATATAAAGTGTCTGACAGGTATTATTTGTTAGAAATTGGAGATTATTGCCAGGACCAAAACAAACAAACAAAAAATTAGTCCAGAGAGCTATTCTGAGAAAAGGACAAATAGGAATAGAACAGACAAATGTGTCATTCCCAACGCATGTCAAAACCTTTCAGCAGGACCCTACTAAGAGCACATTCAGAACTGAACAGGATGGGTTTGCTACTTTTTTTTATAAAGGGAAGCACATTTCAAGGGGACCCATGAGTGTGTCAACAAGAAGGTTTTAGAAAGGTAAAAAGTTTTAGAAATGACTTACTAGAAAGTATTGGCTTTGACTTAGGCAATGTTAAGGCTTAAGATAATAGAACTATAGATTGTATGCTTTCAAAAATGGACTTAATTTTATGATTGGTGGTCTTGATAAATTTAATTTAGATAAGGGAAGGTTGGTCACTTCTGTGGTTTGTACAATATTCATGTTTTGATTGTGTTCAGTCATGACTATGAAGCAGACTTATTTGTGTCTTTATCCACAACAATCACACTGTTGACCTTGCCTGATGTTAAGTGAACATGTTGTATTCAAGAAGAGGATTCCAAAGCCAGACTGATGGTACCAGAGCAATGCCTGCTGTCAGGAGTTCTTTTCTCTTTCTCACGCCTGTCAGGAAGAGCTCCTTAGGAGGAGTGCAGAAAAGAAAGAAGGAGGTTAATCTGACATCTTCCAAACATCTTTGCAATTCTCTGTTTTGAAGGATTCGATACAGTATAGCTTCTGTTGTCTCTGGATCTGAAAAACAAAAACTATCATTAAAAAGAATATAAAGGTTCTTTCTTTTTAATTTTCTCCTAAGCCCATTTACAAGGACTGGAGGCTTTGAGAAATATCTTGAGATCTTCAACCTAATAGCCCAGTAATATTTAGAAAAGAGGGAAAAATTGTAATTGTTATTTTTTTAAAAAATCCACACTTCTTGAAAAAGCCATCTCAGCAGCATGCACCCAGCTCTTGAGGTTACACTAAAGCAGAACTTGGTCAGACCACTATCTCATGAGGAAACATCACCAGATTTTTCTTCCTTTCCCAGGACAAAGTGGGCATCATCACTGTCAGGCTTCTTTTCAAATTAGGGTGATTTGAGTTGCAAGAAAGATACTTTCCTGTGCTAGCTCAAGTAAAAGTAGTAGTTTTTGGAAAGCAACGTGTGATCTAAAAATGGAACTAGACTCCTTAGAATTAAGAACAGGAAGTATAATAACAGGACCTTGGCCATCTAGAACTGGAAGCCAACTCAAGTAGCACCAGGGATCACATGAGTACTGTTTGTGGATCTTTGTAATAGCAGCTCTCTGACGTTGGCTTCTAGCCAATTTCTCCATGCTGAGTTCAGGTTCCTGAGAAAAGAACTTCAACTGACTTCCTTTAATTTTAGATACCAGGTCACATCATAAATTACTGCACTGGCAATCAGTGGACCTCAGTGTTTTCACTGGCCATCCCCATGCAAAGACAAGTTTAGTGTTGCTAGATTCTGGGTAGAGTTTGAACAGGAGACAAATGGGACATCATAGGCATGTTGAACAGCTTGCCTAATACCATCCAGCTATGAGCTGACATGTACATACCCTACACCTACAATGCCAAAGATGCCCCTAACCAATTCTATCTAAACATTGGCATACAATTGTCCACCCACCTATGGCTTTCAACAGAGATGCAATTCAGTCACATCTATCCTATGGCTACCCAAGCTGCAGGTTGATCTCAGAAGCTGTAGTCTTCTGATGATCCTCATTCTTCTCTTAGCTCCTTTATTATCCTATTCAGACATCACCCTTACGTGTGTGTGTGTGTGTGTGTGTGCATGTATGTGTAATACCATTCATGGAAAACATCAATCACTATAGGCAAGTGCAAGTCTATTCCCCAGAGGAATTTTTCATCACTAACACTTTCCATTTTTATTTTTTCTAGTGATTAAAATTATACTTTAAAAATAGCTGGGGGTGGTGGCACACGTCTATAATTCTAGTGGCTTGGGAGGCTGAGGTAGAAAGATTTCGAATTCAAAGCCAAGGACCTAAGCACCTTAGTGAGATCCTGTCTCTAAATAAAGTATTTTAAAAAGGAGAGGAGATATGGCTCAGTGATTAAGTGCCCCTGGGATCAATCCCAGTACCAAAACAAATAAACAAACACATTTTATATTCCTTTATTCATTTACCAACTTATAGAACTCTTGACTTCTTTGTTTGAAATTGGAGAGAATCCACTACTCCCACAACACCTTCTTACTCATTCTCCATTATCTAAATCTTGCCAATCATGCTCTCTATATCAGTAACATTCTAATCTCTTGTTAATTGACGTTAAAATTTGAAGATCAAAAAGCTATTAAAATATATAATTAGTTCTCAATGTATATTTTTAGATATAGTGTGTTTGCCCCTGAACTTTGAAAACATTTCTCCATTATGTTCTAGAATCCAACATAACTAAAAAGTCTGATCATTTTCTTTTTGTAAATAAGTACTTTTTAATATCTAGTATTTTCAGGATTTTTTC